ATTTCCTTAATTGTTCATATTACAACCACTTCAAAACCCTGCCATCAACATGCAGAGCATTTTCCAAGTGCCCACAGGTGTTACCAGTTCTGGACTCTACATGTGATGTTTTACTGCTCACACTATTGACTAGTTTCCACACTTCTGTCCCATCTGCTCTGAGTAAACACATCCTGCAGCTCAGTCCAGTTCATCCACGTCTGCTGGTTGCAGCTGACTCACTGATGCCTTCACGGTTGCGATGAGAAATGCAGAATTATTTTCTTTTTTACAAAATCTGATCAGTGTAAACAGTTTGTTGTTCAAAACAAAAAAAAGTGAGAGAGTTATTTAGAATAAATGGATTTTGATGAAATGTCACAATTTTAAGCTTAGATTTGGTTTACTTTGGCAACAGAAGTAGTCAAAGCTCTGTCTGAAAGTTCAAATTTCTTTCCGTTTTCACAGTTTTTGGTCATTTGGGCAGTTTCAGTGAAGACAATGTGCCTTTCAAACCCACTGGCAGGTTTTGCGGTTCACAGGGTTAATAAGGCTGAAGACTGGCGATGCAGGTTTGATTTAAAGTGTTTAACTGCTGGTTTCTGTCTCGCGTTCTGTCAGGAAGCCAGAAATGTGTCGGAGCTGCAGCGGACGGTTCAGAGAGGAAACACTCTCCTGCGCAGGAAAGAGGAGCAGCTTCAGCAGCTGGAGAGCTCCATGGCCGAAGAGGTCAGGAAGAAACACTGGACGGGACTCGTTCTCTGTTATACGCTCAGTTCCTGGTCATACTTCACTTATTGTCCATGTAGAGGGTTAAATGCAATACATGCACCAAATCTATGAACAGCTACAAAAATAACCATGAACATCTCCTTCTGTGGTTTCTTTCTGCCTCTCTCACTGCACTTTGCTGTTGCTCTGAGGATCATTCTTCCTCTAGAAACATCTGCTAGTAATATGAGATTATCTAAGAACTGAGCTGCTGACCTGGATCACTTTGATACTGAAGAGAGAACTATGTGTCCTGGCAGCATGACCTGCTATGAGATGTAGAAAATGCTTTTTGTTTCTTGTCACTGTCTCGAAGCGGTTCTCATGAGAACGTCATTAACGGCAGTCTGACCTGCTGCTTCCTTTGTTCAGGCCCTGTTTGAGGATTTGTCTCGGCTAGCAGGGGAGAGGAAGGTAACCTTTGATGTGACGGAGTCAGACCTGAGCAGCGCCGTGGATCCTCCAGATGTGACAGGTAACACATGCTGCTGCTCCGCCAGGCAAAAAGAGACGCTGACCGAGGTTAAAGTAACTTAAAGTAGATTTAGAAAACAGCCCATTTTGTTTTTAGTCAGTAACTGTGTGTATGTACTCTGATTTCATTCATTCAGATTGTTGGTGTTACATATACCCTAAAATAATAATAATAATAATAACAATAATAATAATAATAATAATACATTTTATTTAAAAGTGCTTTTCTGGACACCCAAGGACACTGCAGAAAAATTAAAAAACAAATAAAATACAGGCATGATAAAAGGATAAAAACAACATACAATAATATCGGGCAAGGGACAATGTGGAGCAGTTACAGACAATATGAAAGTCTGAACAGATGGGTTTTAGGTTTTGATTTGAATAAATAGTAAGTAAATAGGGCTTCTCGACGTGTCAAAGTGTGGAACCTGCCCACCACCACCACCACCACCACCACCACCATCGCCTGGCCTATTTTAAAAGTATCTACATTTAGTCTATGGATCCACGTGTTTTCAACGTTGCTCAAATATGTTGATTAGTCTGACACAGCCTTAATAATGTCAAAAAATATTCATAGAACGGCATAAAATGGCTAAAATGTGTGAACATTTCCTGTACCTCGAACACGTAGGTCATACTGTTGTGGTTTTTGGTAATCATGTGCTCAGGGTTTCACCGTACTTTAACTAATTACCTCTATGAACTCTTTGCCGCAGCCAACGGCCGTCTGTGTTTATCAGTGAGCAAAACTGCAGCAACTCAAACCCACTTGTTTCTAGAGCACGTGAACGCCCCCCGTCCTCGCTCACCTCTCGCCTTATCTCTGTTTAATGTCTCCCTCTGAGCCCCCCGTCTGTAATGTACTCTCTTCTTATCTCCCCTCCATACGTTTCTCTCCTCCTCCTCCTCCTCCCTCTGTCATCAGGAGCTCATCCCACTGTCCCGGCCAAAGTCCAGGAGCTGGCTGAGTCCCTGCAGCAGATCTCAGGCCAGCTCAACTCCGTCCTGGGTGCACTGGGTTCGCTGGCTCAGAGGCAGACCACCACACCTTTTGCAGCGTTCCCTCTACCTCTTTCTCAGCCTCACGCCGCCCCAGCTCCCAGCTCCTCCACCTCCCCACCCGTCATGCCCCAGATGCACAGCCTGGATCCCAGGTCCTTAGTCCCACCTCCCACAGGGAGACTCTCGGAGCCACCCTGGAACTGGGCGCCTCCAGGCAGCTCTGCAGCCTCCCCTCTCTACAGCACCCCCATCAGCAGTGGGCTGAGGGCCCCGGACGACTTCATGAACAGCCGATGGAGTCAGATATTCCCTGGTACGCTAATAAATCAGTTAAACACCAGTACTGGGACTTGCTAAATGCTAAAACCTTCTGTTGTTGGTTCTGAACTGCTGTTGTGTCCTCCAGGTGCGCCTATTGACCCAGTGGTCTCCCACCCCCCGAGGACCACCTCAGCTTACTCCTCATACTCTCCTGTTAGGTACAATACAGCTGTAGTCCTGCTATCTTGGTGGATTCCATACATGCATTTGCTGTTTCTGATGTTCTGGTTTCTGATTGTGTCTAAGTGAACACGGCCGTAGTCTGCGGTCCGTGCACAAGTCCGTAGAGGTGGATGGCCAGAGGCTGCAGGGGCTGATCGACGGCAACAAGAGGTGGCTGGAGATGCGCAAGAAAGACACCAGCATGTATCCTTCCATTGCTCATCTACACACACGAACACGTGCAAATATTAGTGTTGCGTTGAGTCTACATGAAACACTCACAGTTCAGGGTCTCGGTTTTACAGCATCTCATTGGGCCTGATAGGGACTCTGCTAGTTAATGTGCTGACAAATTGGTCAATACAGTATCAATACATAAACATTCTTTCAGTTCCTTTGTTTCTGTTTTCTTTCTCACATTTAATCATGTGTCTACTGCCTGTTGTCCCCTGTGCATCTTGTACTGCTTTACATCTTCGCCCTCTGCTGTCTGAAGCCCACCGTTAGCTGTGAGGACACAGTGCCTGCCGTTGTCCTTAACCCGTCCTTCCAGACCTCTGTTCACTCGCTACCGGGCTCCCTCCTCCAAGAACGGCCTGCTCCAGCTGGGCCTGGACGATAACAACCAGATCAGAGTCTATCATTACTGAGGACGTGATGCACAGTTCAGTCCCGGCGTACCGCGACCGTCAGCGAGGACTTTGGAGCGCTGACGACCGCGACAGTCAGCATTGTGACGTTTACATTCCTTTTTATGACTTTCAGAGCAAAGGTTTTCAGGGATTGCCACGAGGAAGAGATGTCTGCAGAGGATATGGTTGTTCGATATCCACAGGTCACACAGGGGTGAGAGCTGTCATCATTCAGTGGCTGTAAGGTACAGGTGACTTTTAAACAGCCTCCAGGTCACAGATTATAGCTCCGTGCCAGACTGTTTCCTGTGTCAGATGGGAGTCTGTATTTTCCAAGTACGTGTAGGACAATCACAGAGAAGTGTCTTAATTTACATCACTTCTCTTTTGCTAAAACCTTCCTAAACTTCACCAAGTCTGTCCAAAATGTTGGGTTTTATAGCTCCGCGTGTGTCTGGTTTTGTCATTAGCTATTGTGAACTTTTAACAGTTTCTTACGTCTTTATGTTAGCAGAGACAGAAATCGATGTTAGAATCAATGTCAAGGTGAAGCCAAGACACCTGTTTAGTGCTGTTTTTCTGCTCCACACTCCTTCACTCAGTGTTTAGCATTAACGGTGAGCCGCTGACTAGTGTGAACTTTAACACGGAGACAACTCTGTGCACATATTTGTGTAAATAATACTGTATTTTTATATGAAGTATTTTAATAAATCTAATATTTTGTGTATTTTCATGTGCGTAGAACAATGAAAAAAAGACCACGTTTCTGAAAAGACCTTTATTCGGTAACTGCTCGTTGCAATGTTTGACATCAAAAACCTTTTTTTTTTATACAGTACAGTGCAAAAAATACCTTCGCAGTCACACTTGAGGGCAGTCAAGCAGTAAATACAATCATCATCATCAATATTCTCCGATGAGAAGGACAGCTAGGTCGAGGATCTGACCAATCAGAGCACAGTATGTGACTAACATGATTAGGACATTGAAGGCCACTGACAGACTGGACAGGATTCATGTTCTCACAATTATATTTGTAAACAGACACACACCTCTGTACAAACACACACACACACATCCACACACACACACACACAGCATATAAACAGCATACAAACAGGAATTCCAAAATACATTGTTGACTCGTGGGTCAAACGTAACGCAGACAATATAAAATAAGTTAATTTGGACAGTTTTTCTTTTAGCAAGTGTGCACATCGTTATCTTCATCGTCAGCAGTGAGTAAACATCGATTACAACGGTTACATCGATGATGGCAGCGAAAGGACAAAACACTTGAGCGTCACCGATCCAGCTCTGGATTGGCACATGAGTGTCCGTACCGGTGGAGGGAGGGGCTACCGCCATCCCTGACTGGCCGATTGGCTGTGCGAGGCAGACATGCGCTCATGGACAGTCCGAGAAACAGGCTACTGGCTGTGCTTTCTGAAAACATGGAGGAGATGCGGACGAAGAGAAGGGCGATAAGGCGGAAAGGAGGAGCTGACCTCCTCGCAGAAGGTTTGACTGACTAGAAGACGAAGATCTTGTCTCTCTGGACGGTGTCGAGGTCGTCGTCCATGGTGAGGAGGACCTGGGGAGGAACAGACCAGCGGAGGGGTTAGTGCGCTCAGCTTCTGACCTGCAGATTCCCATTTCAACAGTAGACTTAAGTTTTATATTTAAACTGTCACAGATAGTGGCCCTGTCGAGCTTTAACTGCTGTTAACAGCTGGTTTTCACATTAAAGGTTCTCAATATTATTACAGCATTGAGCAGCTGTGAGCAATGTAAAGACGTCGTAGAGTAACGTGTCCTCAGTAGACGATGAAGCCACAGTCCTTCTGTGTGTCTCATCATTTGAGCTTCTTTGTTCGGTTTTCTCAGCCAATCAGGTTGAATGTGAATGTTAGCGTTGTGAGTCCCTCCCATTGAAGCGTTGGTCCTCCCAGTCCAGTGTTCAGCTGGTGTTCAAAGAGTTAAACTACAAAGTTTTAGATTTACTGTTCACCTAATTTATGATCAGCTCAGTGTGAGAGACTCGACTCGACTCGACTCGACTCTGAGGGGTGTCCTTAACCTAAAACCCCACCAGAGATTCTGGGCATCACAACAGTGACTATCATCTTTCTTTGTTAACTCAGGTTTTTTTCACCAGGTTCTGTTTTTTCTCCCCAAAAACGGACTTTGAATGCATCATGTGAGTGTTGTTCCGCACAAAATGAACCGACTGCCTGCTGCCTACTTCAGGCAACAGGAACAGGTTGTTATACTGGAGAGCTATGAGGAATATAAACACTGACTGAGGTAAAATACTGCTGGACTGGAAGACGTTTTGGTAGAAGAAGTGCATTTAGTTTGCTCGTCATGTGTGCAAACGAACGTGAACCCAGGTGCAGCTGTTTGTTGTGTTCTGAGATGCTTCAGTGGTTCTGAATGTCATCTCAGCACCTTCAATTATCTTATGAAGGTGAAGCAAAACAGTTTTCAGTTTAAACAGTTTAAATGTGCGTACCAGGAAGGATCCGAACATGGCGATGGAGGAGAGGAAGTGCCAGATGTCGTGGTCGTCGAAGAACGACAAGAGGATGCAGTCCCTGTTGTGTTCACGAGACTCTGCTGGAGTTTTCTGTGTCAGGAGACAGAAACACGTAGATTCAGTACATAGAAGTACAATAGTCGTAGTAATAATATGTACATATGTACTCCTGTGTACCTGCCAGGTGCTGAGACCCTGGAAGAAGAAGTACAGAGCGAAGCCCCAGATGACAGCCGTGAAGAGAATACACACCAACGGCAGACACTTGATCCTCTCACCACTCCGCAGCTAAACACACACAGAAGACAGTTTACCTAAAATGTGCCAGACATTTCTACAACTAACTGCTGAAAACACACACACACACACACACACACACACACACACACACACACACACACACACNACACACACACACACACACACACACACACACACACACACACACACACACACACCTTCATGATGATGTAAAAGGCAAAGTAGAGCAGCAGGTTGCAGATGGCGATGGCCAGCAGGTAGGAGGCAAAGTCATTGGGCCTCTCGATGAGGCCGTAGGCAGCGCTGCACAGACACACAGGAAGGTAAATACGTCATCTGTCGCCTCTCCATTCTGCAAATCTGTATTAAACGCTGTGTACTTACAGAGACCAGTTGACTATGTTCCCCATGACGAGCAGAACCATCCGATCCTATCAGACACACAGGAACCATCCAGTGATTTACAAGCAGATACTCTGAACGTGTTTAACGTAACAGCTACAGATGAGGTATTAACAACTAAGTTAGAAGCATAAAGGGTCATTTCATCAGCCTCCACCTGACCAACTCAGAATCATCTCAGTGTTTTTGTACAATAACTTTAGTATATTTGATGAAGCCTTGTAAAGTTTGACCTTCACACTATGAATATTTTCTAAATGACAGGTCCGCGTAGTACTTAGAGAGGGTCTACATTTATGCTTTTTAAGTCATGTTATTCTTTTCGTCAGTACAGAAGATTTTGTTCGATAACCAACTTTGAGGATCAGTATCATGATCAGTACCAGAGTTTCAAATGGTAAATGGTCTGCACTTATATCACGCTTTTATCCAAAGCGCTTTACAATGTGTTTCTCATTCACCCATTCACACACACATTCACACACCAACGGTGACAGAGCTGCCACGCAAGGGGCAGTCTTGCCCAAGGACACTTCGACTGTGGAGGGGCCGGGGATCGAACCACCAATCTTGTGATCGGAGGACAACCGCTCTACCACCTGAGCCACAGCCGCACTATGCACATGTATTATCTGTTTGCTGAACTGCATTCTGGGTAAACTTTTACTGATCACATCACAGTGTGGGACAGGTGAGGACACGTTATACAATCAGGATCATCTTCTAACCATGATTTGTGATTTTCACACTTGAATGAAGCTCACAGTTGAGAAACAGACAAACAACATCACCGTTCACATGTTTTATGTACTCGTCTAAGCAATCACACAAGTTGGAAGCACACGCATTTGCTCAAGAGTCGTTCCACAGAAAACAAGAATATCGTGATACTGGTTCTCAAAGTTGGTTACAGAATAAAAATGATATCTTGGTTTTAAATTGTGACACCTGAGGAGCATGTCAAACTGATTCGGTTTGGATCAGATGTGTTTTTCATCCTTTAACTCTCCTGTTGCTGCCTCTTGTACCTACGCTAAAGTTACTGAAAGTTGCTATTCTGAGGGTTGAGGAGGGAATTTTGTTTCAGATTAAAATGGAATGACCTCATAAATAACACAACATATTACCAACATCAAACACCAGGAGGAGATGATGTTACTTTAGACCCTGCAAGCTGTTCATCATGATGATAATGAATTTTGTGGTTACTCACAATGTACATGGGTCCACTGCACTGTCTGACGCAGTCCGTGTAGATGATGTACAACATCCTGCGCAAGGTCCCGGAGTCTGACACAGAAATGTACAGAAGTGACGGAGATGATTACAAACAAAAACACTGAATGCAAATATGTGGCGCTGAAACACCAAAAGGAAACAAAAGGCCCCGCTGATGTCAAATCCATAGCAACACGTCATATCACATACTGAAATTAAAAATATATGTATTTTTAGGACCAAATATTACAAATATTACACATTTAAACGGGGATATTTTCCTCCAGTTTGTAGTGTTTCACCACACAATCCTACCAACAGTTGAAGAGAGCTGCCGTAACACAAAAAGAAATGATCATAATAAATGGCCAAAACAAATATTAGCACTTTGCTGAATACAAAAAAGGAAAAATGTTGAACAGGAAACTACGAGTGCAGTCGATTACAACTAATTTTCTCGTTGTCTCCTGCTGTCTTCTTACCGAGCCTCCATCGACCCATGTAGTAGAGCTGTGTGCTGAGGAACAGCGTGGCCAGAATGTGGATCACTGAGAAAATGATCCAGAAGGCCATGTTTCCTTTCCCAAACACCTGAAAAACAGAAAACGTGTGATCATTAGAAAGTGGTTTTTTTATTCGAAAAGGACACAGCCGAGACGAGCATGAAACCAGAACAATGACAGACAGCAGAGGAAGCCACGTGTCCGGAGCGTTGTTTGAAATGTTCGACCTGAACCAGGCGTGTTTGGTTGTGTTGTTCCTGTGTACGCACCACTCCCAGCACAGAGAAGAAGATGACGGCGGCCAGGCAGGCATAGGCGGTGTAAGCGCTTGCGTTGATGTCTGGGTGTCTCTTCTGATACAGCTTCAGCATACACAGACCAGCAATCATGTACATGAAGGAGGTGTCTGCAAGCGAGGAAAACAACGTTACAACACGTACACACCTCCCCTTCAGTGTCAACAACAACAAGAATAACTACAAAGCTGTTATTGTCTTTATATGTATTGCATATTTCTGGCTTTAACTATTTTTAAATGCGTTAAACAAAGCTGGGAATTAAACGGTAAAGGGCCCACACACACACATAAATATATATAAAACGCCTTTTTAACCTCAGGCTCCAAAGCACTGTTTCTCATTCACACACCTTCTCACCCACCATCTGTGTAACGGGTACATTTCACACTGTATAGTCCAGCTCGGGCCATGTGGAGTGTCAGTAGGGGCCTTACCAAACTGGAAGTTGGTGTAGTTGGGACAGACGTGGTAACAGGCACTGAGCAAGCCCTCCATCATCAGAGCAGTCCCCATGGCATAGAACAGACCAAAGTGCTTTGGGATACCGCATTCCTGGAGGAGAACGAGGGGTGACAGGCAGACAGGGACGTGATCGGCCTGATAACTGACTGATAACGTTTTTAAAAAGTCCAGGCACTGCATGCAACACAGACGAAGACCTTCCTCCTCAGGGCTAACTATGACTTTACTGTAAACAACAATAACAACTTCATGGTTTGAGTCATTAAAAAACATTCTGTCTGGCGATACATTTCTTGAAAACGACATATTTACTGGGTGATGTGAGCTTACTGTCTTGTACTTTTGTGGGTGTGCATGTGGCTTACCAGCGCGTTGAGGTCGTTGCGGAGCAGAGCTCGGTTGTGGACGACGTCTCTCTTGAGGACGATGAGGAGGAAGAGGAGTCCCAGCATCACGTAACCGAGATTACTGAGGATGTTGTTGAATGCACTGCGTGGGACAGGCAGGACAGACGTTCACACACAGCTGGGTCATCTAATACGTCTGCTGTTGCTGTAATGGCACATGCAGCTGACATGCATTAAAACGTGCGCTGACTACGCACCTTAGAGCACCAAGGGGGTGAGCACACAGGAAGTTGTAGTAGCAGATGTCCTGGTTTCCTGTAACGTTGACAACCTGAGGAACAGAGACAAAGACATATTAACGCGTCTTTAAACATAAGTTTAGCGTCATCGTGTTGTTGGAGTGTTTGTGGTCAGCGTACCGTCTGATAGGTGATGACCAGCTGGATGACTGGCAGGGCGTAGAACACAGCGATGGTAGCGATGTTCCTGAAGAGACCACATTCAGACGTTCAGACGACTTCAGCACAGAATTCACAGCCAAGACTTTTTGTATTTCATGTGGACACTGTCGTCGTGCCAAAACGTCATTAACTGTGCTGGCTGATTAACGGTGGATAAACCTGGACTGAAATGCGAATGTTTGTTCCTGAATGTGCAGATAGCCTCAGTCTATGCTGGTTAAGTGTCACTCCTGATCTGACCAGTGTCCTCACCAGAAGTAGATTTGGTATTTCTTGCTGAGGATCCTCTTGTCTTTGCGCGCCAGGTCAGACACACACAGAAATTTCTGGAATAAAAAGACAACATTATTCCTGATAGTCACTATTTAAAAATAGGCATCAAAAGCAGTGGTACCACGACATCCTTACACGTTATTAATGCAATCAATGGTTATAATATCACGTTGGGAAAGCTGCTCCTGTTAGAAAGAACTCTCTGTTAAGCTGCTGTAACTGTCTTTGAGGTTTTTCCTTCTTTTACTTTTCTTCTATACTGTCAATAGAAAATTAAAATTAAAGCAGTTTTTACAAAACATAATAAATCTGTCAGGATTCCTACAGTCAGGCAGCTGTGTGCGTTTTAAACCTGTGCTGTCTGTCGATAGATGAAGAGGCAGAAAGAAGAAATTCCTACGATTAGTTCATGGTTGAAAACGTCCGTGACTGGAGTGACACAGTTAACCTTACAACGAGCCTTGGAGCTGTCTGGTGGTGCGTAAGAAGGGGTCTGTCTGTCTATCCAATGACTGCCAGTCCATGTGTTACAGTAGATTAGTGATATAAACATGATCATGTCTGTGTTTGGAGGCAACAAGAACCAAATTCTTTATAGGCAAGTTTCACAACTGGGCTTCTATCCAACGCTCCCAGGCAGATATTTCAGGCTGACAAGACGGCGGCCATATTTAAATGAACGGAGGGAGAGCTACAGCTGCAACTTCATTTATCATAAAAACATAACAAAACACTAAAACTGCATGTGTAGAATCTTGAATCAATTCTGGTTTAAAAAAAAAAAAACGCTAAAAATATCTGGGGATTTTGCCTCAAAATAAGGTTTAAAAAGCGTTTTCTTCCATATTATACTTGTACTACAACAAGGTGCTCTCATCACTCCAGCAACACGACTGTCTGGATGCTTCCCGGTTCGACTGTTGCAAAGCAGATGATCGGCTTGTCTGGACGGGAGTTTCAGCAGCGAGTCTCTTCCTGACAACGTCTCACCAACCGTTGAATGACTCGTGAGTAAAACTGGACTAAAGCAGTGGTTCAAGTTAAATTGGGTGTAATGTGTTTATGTGTGTAAGTCGTAGTCAGTTACTAAATGTCCACATCCTCCGGGTTACCATGGTGACTGTGCATGCAGCATTCTTCCAGAGTGATAATTCACTGACATTTGTCTTGACCGCCGGCTATTCAGCCCTAAATCGTAGCGCTCATCACTACCACTGTCAGCGCCCCAACACTGAGGGTTATGTTTGTGTTCCTGGTGTCGAAATGTGGAAAACGGCCCACTGTCGTTCTGAGGCTTCTGGAGTTTGTGAGGGAGAAGACAACTTTTCCTACATTTGGGTGACAAAGTGACGTCTGTCGAGTGAAACTTGTGGGACAAGTTTAAAAGAACATTTTCTGAAGAAATTAACGCTCCAGTCCCACTCTAGCTCCAAACATGCGGCACATTCACCTGAGCAGGGATTTTTTTAGGGTAAACATTTGGGGGTTTTGTGACAAAAATGTAACAACAGGAGAGCTGAGGCCTACCTTGGTGCGGACAATGTTTTTGTCTGAGTTGATGTCGTCCAGCGTGTCGTAGTCGTCCTCCTCCACAGAGCTCAAAGACTCCTGCCTGCTTCGTCCAACGCTGTCCAGCGATCGCTCTGTTGGGGGCAGTGACGAGAGGAGAGACACTTTCAGTCGACTGGATGGACGATGTTAGCAGTTAGACGGACGACCAGATTTAGAAGAATTGCAAGAGGATGCAGAGGTGTTCAAACGCGTCACACCTTTTACGACTGATTTGCATATTTTCAAAATAGGAAATTAGGTTGATTGCTGATCTTTGCACCGATAGTATTGTTTTGCTGTTCCTTTAATTATCATCACGTTTAAAATCTGGGCCCTCCCTGGCCTCCCTCTCGCTTCATTGATGTGTCATTAACAGGGTGCTGATTGGTTTGCAGTAAATCTGGGGACTGATTTGGCCAATTGTGCGGCAGTGTGTCACCAATGCGGACGGCTGTGTAGTGAAGGTAATTGAGGATTGGTCGGCGTTTGAAAGGCTCCTGTCCTAATGAACAAAAACACACAGAAAACGAATGAGGCACTGGGAGCCGCGAGCACAGAAACCAGCTGCAGGCCAGGCTGTGAAGACAAACGGCAGAGTAACAGCAGTGTGAGCCTGAGACGATGTCCGTGTTGGTTCATACCCATGTAGCCATAGTTGTTGTCAGTTGATGTGGCGCTGTCAGTGATGGCCTCCGAACTCAGCGTGCTGCAGTTGTCAGCTGGAGAAGAAAAATACTCCTTAGTTAATTCCATCACGACTCAAATAAAGACGGTAATCAAACCAGAACTGTCCCAGACTCACCAAAGGAGCCGTATTCATACGGAGAGGCTGGAGTCTTGCCTGTGGTGATGACAACAACACATGCATTTACAAATTCCAAATGAGTTCATAATAACAAACTTCACATAAAGAAACCAGCACCACTACAACAAATACTTGCTAGTATCTTAGCACTAACAACTACAAGACCACTGCAGGTTAGTCTATAAACACAGAGAGGTGAGGGAGGCATCAACATTAACAGCAACTAACTGACAAACGTGGGATGAAAATGAAGAATTGGGGGCTAAAGATTAGCAGGGATTGTTGCACAGAGCAATGACTACTGCAGTGAAAGTGAACTGTTTCCAAACTGCAAGCGTCTTGCGGTTCAAAATCAAATCATATCAGCAAACACTGCAGTGAGCAGACACAGAGACACACTTAGAGGCAGTCTCAAGCTGCAGAAGCACATCAGCACTGCTCATATTTATCTCAGTTATCATCTCCATGCTTTTGTTGGTCTATCATGTTGTTATTATTGATGGACATACTATGTGCTTATGTGTTTCTTGGGCCAACAAAACTGTCATCAGTGGTGTCTAACCAGCACCTAGGTGAGTGTACATCTGTATCACTCTGAAGCCATAAAGTCTTGTCACTTGTCACTGAAAAGTCCACTCACACCGCAGCCACTCCCATTTCTTTATCTTCCTGTCTTTGAAAGTTGCTTATAATACAAGACAGTTAAAGTGTGCAAGCTAATGCATGCGAAGCACCTGCAGACAAGCAACACAGTGTGAGACAGGGCAGTAATCGCACAAGAGAGTAACTGTATTTATACCATCTCCGTTCTTCCCCAGTAGAGAGGCTGAACCACACATTAGCATGAGGGAGAGAGTGAAAGATACACATTCAGTACACACACAAATGCTAAACTCTACATTAACAGCTTCATGGAAAATGGTTGCTACGCTTAATATTACGTGTAATATAACATTTTGTTGATTGTGGCATTTAATCAACCAAAGCTGTTCATAGATGTGTATTTTCTGAAATGGTGCGGTCGGTGCACCCTCCACAGAGCCCCTAATGGGCTAGTCCATCATCGCTAGTTGCTGGGTTACCTGTCTCAGCAGGCGACATGTCAGCAGGATTCTGAAACACCTCTCTCTTTTTATTCATTCTGCAGAAATAAGAGAGGAGAAGATGCAAATGAAAGTCATTTGTATTCTGTAGAGTGTCGTTCTTGCAGTGCAGTCGTATGAATCTACATTTTTTGATTAAAGATGAATCCTGCTGCGTTGAAGTGGGACCGACACTGTACAGGATATACATTTGAACACCGTGATCTCCAGTGCTGGGAGACAGTGTTTTAACCAGATCCTCCACACAGACAGAAAGTATTGGGTCAGTCTGTGTCAGTTCAGGCAGAACTCAGAGAATATACATTCTCATCTGCATGTGTTCATTGGGCTGAATTTTTAGAATTTAATATCAGATATACAGCTGGAGCTCTCAATCACAGTTTGAGTTCGTGTTATGCAGCACCTGGCTCCATTTCTTGCTTGTGAAGCTGGAAGGCTATCGAGTTGTGAGGAGACTTGAGGACAGGATGAAGTAAAATTTATCATATCTTAACAGCATTTATTTTACACCTCTAGGTTTATAACAGTCACAAAATACAATTAAAATGGACTTTAATCACACGGGACCTTAAGGGTTCAATATCCAAATGATTGAATGGCTCCAGCAGAGGCCCAGTATCAGTCATTTTCTTGCGTTCTAATTTTGTCAAAAGTCCTTCAAAATTGAAAAAAGTTTCAAACGAGGGCAGTATTGGGGCCCAACAAAGTCCTTGTAAGAGTATATATGTGGATGGATGTATGTCTGCTACTCTGACAGGCCAAAATGGTGACGTGGAGTCATATTTCTGGAGATACTGAAAAAAGCGTCAAAATACAAAATGTCTGTAAACATATGAAATTCTTAAAATTCGGCTAAAGATATTTTAAGAACTTAATTCTGGGTCCCAAATAGCAAATAAGGAGCAAAATTTAAAACGGTGCAGCATCTGAAATGACGGGGACTGACCCTACTGTCTGCGCTGGGGGTGTAGACATATTTTTTTAATCACTTCTAACAAATGATCTTCCAAATAAATAAATGCAAATATCTCAGCGATAAGACAAGGCTGCATGTACGTAGTGGGTTTAACGAAACTCCAGTCCTGGCTAATATTCTTACCTCCTGTTTTCCACACAGGCAACCAGCAAGGTGAGCAGGTAGAAAGAGAGGAAGATGCCCAGACAGAACAGCATGCCCATCACGTACACTTCCGCTGTGGAGAAACATGTATTTACTATAAGTCTGTTCACTCTCTAATACGGCACGACTGCACTGCATGATGCAACAACACAGCAACATCACCTGCAGGTTACAGCTGAAGTAGACACATACGGTACGTTTCTATCCCGTCAATGGCTAATTCAGTTGACAAACAGTAAAAACATTTTAAGCAGCATTTCTATCCGTCTGCTTCAGCCCAAGCTTTATGTATACAATAACTACAAATGGATTCATCTCAGTCTGAACGCTCGTCTTTGTACATATGTGACTTACAGTTGATGGCAGGAGAAACCACCACATCGAGGACTTTGGTACGGTTTCCAGCATCAATCAGCTCATCGGGTCGCAGAGGATAGAAACGCAGCGGACCGCCGCACGCCTCGTCCTCCGTTTTTACCACGACCACCACGTAGAAACTGTTGCTTGGAAAATCTTTTCTCTGGATGACAGGGAGAGACACGAGGAGATATGACTCCGCGTGGTAACGGCTCTGTAGTCAACACTATACCAGGATCTGTCACAACAGTTTCTAATGCATTCAGCACCACGTATGTGGCTATGTGTGAGAAAATACCTGCACAGTGATGGCACCTTTTTTCGTCATAGTCTGGTACATCCCAATAAAGGCCACATTGGTGTCAAGGTCGTAGACAGGGCACTGAAGAGAAAGGAAGACAGAAAGAAAAATGAAATGGAAACAAGAACTTAATTCAATTTTATATATATAAATACATAAATATATAGCATCAAATCAAAACAGGCGTCATCTCAGGGCTTGTTACATGTCAAGGCCATTTCATGTTTTGGGTCAGCAGCAGTTACCCCCCTACCCCCCTCCACACCATCCACCACTTTCCGCTTCGCTCCCTCGACACGGTGTGCTCCCTCATACAATTTTTTTTCTAGAAAAACCCCTGCAGTCCTTTCAACATTATAGAGAGAAACTCCTTAATTTTCCATGGAGCAAGCACTTGGCCACAGTGGGGGAGAAAACTCCTTTTAACAGGAGGAAAGACTCAGGGTGACCATTGGCCTGAACCAGTTGATGTGAGAGGACAGCTGATGGAGAACAGATTAAAGGCTATAGAAAAAAAGGACACAGTGATGTATTTAAAAAAAATTAATAAATAAAAAAAAAGTAAAAAAAAGTAAAACGAGTCAACTGACTCTTCCCAGAACAAAACTGAATTGACAATGTCTGACTTCAAGGAATCTGTTGCAGTGTCCTCTATGACGCCCCCATGTGGCCCAAAAATGCTACTGCATGCTGACCACAATGCTGGGGCAAAGGGCCACTTAAGGACAACAGCAGTGTGGTTTGAGGGGACAGGGAGTTAAGGGGAGTTAAGCAGAACTGTACCAGGATGTCCTGGATGGACATGACGGAGCAGGGGAAGTTCATGTCCGAGTTGACCTTGACGATCACAGTATCCACCCCGTCTGGAAAGACATACTTGAAATACTGAGAGAAAGGACAAGAGAGGGAAAAGAAAGATGGTCAGAATGCACATCGTAGTTGGTCAACCTCAGGACTGTGTTGCTGTTGCTGACAACACAATAAACTGTGATTTTACAGATTCACACATCATCAAACACATTGATGTTTCCTTTCTTGGCTGACAACCACGACTGACTTGTTGAATTACAAGGCTTATTAAAGGGGGATTTCAGAGGACATTAAGAAAACAGAAGTGTATTTGCATCTGCAGAAAAGCAGAACATACCAGGGAGAAAAAAAACAAAGACAATCTTGCTGCACGCTGAAATTTTGTGTAAAACCAGAAATTCCCTCCACTCATATCATCCTGTTTTCTGTGTGCTTTCCTCAGCTTCTCTCATGTTTCTTGTCATCTGACTCTCCACATCCTTGTTGTAAAGTAGCACATGGTGTCACAAGCACATAAAGGCTTGGCATCAGGCTGATTACCTGAGGTTGTGACGGCGATGCAGTGAAGGTGAACTTCTTGTCTGTCCTGTAACCAGGATAAACATGTCAGGCATACCAGCAAGTGACTTGTTTGTTGACATAAAGAACCAGTCAGATGGCAAATGTTTGTGGTTTAATATCAGATGCTACTCACTGCAGCGTGAAACTCTCGACACGGCTGACTCTGAGCTGGTAGTTGGTACCCTGGGTGGCCAGGGTTGACACGTCAACAAAAAAGTACTGCGTCTCGGAGGCGGCCCGGGTTGGAGGTTGGCACAGTGTCCGGCCCACATGGTTGTAAGGGTACTTCCTCTGGTAGCTGGAGAGAAAGACACGCAGAGATACAGAGGACGATCGAGTGAGAAAACAAGAGGTTCGCATTCAGGAGATTTGAACTTTGTTATGACGTAAACACTAGTTTCTATTTATTAGAAGTAAATTACATTTAAGTATATATTGAGCGCTCTTTTTTATCTTAAAGCATAGATAGATAGATAGATAGATAGATAGATAGATGGATAGATGGATAGATGGATAGATAGATAGATAGATAGATGGATAGATGGATAGATGGATAGATAGATAGATAGATAGATGGATAGATAGAACTTTATTGATCCCTTTGTATATCCTGTAGATGCTCTGAATTAGGTAAGAGGTGACTATGTGAAAAACAAAACAAACAGTTTCACTTCGTACAATAGAGGGACAGTATGTTGCCAGGGATTTTTGTCTGGCGATTTATGAAGATAACTCATCTTCAGTCCTATCCTACTCAAGCTGAATGCACACAGTACAGCTCAAATAGAAGTATATTCTCTCAGAGACAGCATGTGACAGAAGCTACAAAAGACAGAAGTAGCCTTAGTATGGAAATTTTAACAAAGTAATAACAGGAAAATGGGTTCCCAAGATCTGTAGATCTACAAACCTCAGAGGGGGAAGTGAAAGTCCAAGGTTCATTAGTGATTTGCTAATACATGCCTGGCCACATGACTGCATAAGCAATGCTACTGAGAGGCGATTCTGGTGTTGCATAATTACGGAGACAATCTCATCGTGAGGGAGACACAGATCACATTACATATGGGGCTACCGGCCTCCTAACGTGTTATTAAATCCTACATGATTAAGTCCGGTAACAAAAGCTGTGTGTCCTCTGACAGCCATGGTACAATCCAGACAATATTAAAGGCAGTGGATTTTGTAGTTTTCCCACTACAAACTGAATCAACAAACCTTACTACTGCTGAATAGAAATACAGTTCTTTCTAACTAAACCTCATCATTCTGACTAACTAAGCATGTCTCACCACCACAACCATAAAAATCGGTAACAAGCACAGCCAGCTTTTACACAGTTTCATCGCATGACCTGAAGTCATAACTGTTCACTATCTACTGAAAAACAGTCTGACACTCCCTAATAGGAACCTTGGATTACTTCTCTATGTACATACCGTGTACATAAAGAAGCTATAACGACATCCATTATGGTGTAATAAAAATAACTCAGCTAGACATACAGGCTAATTAATGTGGTCAATTTAGGCATTTAAAAAAAAAAAACATCAAGCCATAAATCTGTATCTGCAGATAATGTGTTCCCCTTTCGTTCTGTTTTGTTCTGTGAAATAGTGCAGGTCATCACAAGCTACATCACAAGCTTGAAGTCACGCCTTCGAAGGTGTCATTGCTGGTCAATTCGACTCAGGAGAACATCAATCATCTGTGTTTGTTTGGCATCTTCACTATGCTACTGACAAAGCAACGTGTTCCTGGTTGAGCTAGCAGCAGCTGTGAAACATACTTTACATACAGCATATGCCCTATTTAACTACACACACTATACTGTGAAGGCAACAGAGCATTTTGGTGCTATTCCAGTCCTGCAATACAACTTTTAGAATATTATCCACAAAGATCTATGAGGATTGAGGTCAACAGGCAGTTAATAAAGAGAAGGCCATTGAGTATTGTGCTGATCACTTCCGGTAACATATAACAAAACATTGTTGGATTGCTTATAAAGTGTTCTCGGAGTGGTTTTGTGGGAATAGGGGAAAGCTGAATTAGCGACAAGGTACAAGGCTGGGTTCAAAAGAGTCAGGGACAAAACATGGGTTTCCTTGATTTAAAAAAAAGGAACAAGAACGATGCTTTCAGTTTAGATCTGATGGAAAGGTGGGTGTACTCACAGGCCTCGGAGAATAAGAGGGACTTGAAAAGACAGCACGGCTTGTTTCTGTCGCACCACAAACAGCATCGTACTCTCCAGATTCTGAGACGACACATCCACGGTCACCCGCACTCCCTCCGTCTGGAAGTTTAAAAAGGAATACAAGAACAAAAGGAAACATCAACATTTCAAGTAAACAAAACAAAAAACAAAAACAAATCTACCGGCAAATGTACCTTATTCCTGGAGACCGTGTGATTGAAAGCATAGATGGTCTGGTTTCCACTGGTCACCGTGTCGTTATAGGTGACATCAAACTCTGCGTCTTTCTGCACCACATTCTTGGTCTCCCCCACCGCTTCGCTGCCGCAAGCTAACTGGGTCACACATAACCAGAACAGAACCGCCAGTGCAGTCGGGGTCAGACGTGGAGCGAGTCCGGAGCTGTTTTTATGTCGAGATTTCCAGCAACTCCTGAACACCATCTTGTCCGACACCGTCTTCCTCGATTGGAAAATGATACCTTCGGGAAACACTAACAAAAACTCCACCCCATTCAATATCAACAGACACACGTTAGCACTCCGGCTAGCTTAACGGTGCCAATTCCACCAGCAGTCACGGCAGCGGCTAACGGACAAGCTAAAGAGACAACGAGGCGTTTATATTCGCTACAGACTTCTTTTTTTATCTCGTGGACATCGGTAACAGAGTCGACGCTGTTAGCTATGCACGCAATAGCACAAGTTTCGAGAATCAAAACGATACTCAGCTCGTCTGTGTCAGGCAGGCGGCTGGCTATCTGTGCTAGCATTAGCACCGCTGGTCAGGACGCTGGTGAAGCAGCTCCATGTTTTCAAACTGGGTTCCAACGTCGCGGACGATGGCGAAAACAAAGACGGCACGAGGTGTTTTTTCGATCCTCTCCGGTATGGACGGTTGTCAGCGTCCGTTTTAGCGGCGCCACTGCATTGTGCAAGTGTTTCTCGTCCGGAGGGTGACGAGCTGCACCGTGTTTACAATCTGAAAAATCTGTGCCACTAGCGCCCCCTCCACGTTCACACAGTAAACAAACCGACGTGCGACGCGATGACGACACAGCATGGCTTCCAGGAGACTTCAATGTTCAGTTCATCAGAATCAGAAAGCTTTTTTTTGCTAAGTGAGCTCGCACACACAAGGAATTTGGTGAATGAAGCTGTGGTGCACAACAGTAAATATTTAAATCTAGATGTAAGAAATTCTAAATAAAATGTATGTAAAAGAAAAGTATAAAAGTACTACGTAAATAAAAAAAGTACTGTGAAAAGAGACATAAATTTGCCTAAACCAAGTAATAAATTAGGAAACCCTTTAAACTGCAATATTGCACATGAAATTGAAGCATTACACATGTAATGGTAATGCACAGAGGTAGTGCAACAGGAGTCTTTAGTGATTTACTGACTGTTCATGAGGGATATGGCCTGAGGGAAGAAGCTGCTCCAGTGCCGGGATGTTCTGGTGCTTAGAGACCTGAAGGCCAGAGGGTAGCATGTCAAAGAGGTGATGACCGGGGTAGAAGGGATCCATGTGTATTTTTCCTGCCTTTTTCCTCACTCTGGAGGAGTACAGGTCCTGGAGGGAGGGCAGGGGGGCACTGATGATCTTCTCAGCCGTCTCGACTGTCCATTGCAAGCTCCATATGTCTGACTTGGTAGCAGAACCGAACTAGACAGTCAAAGAAATATTAAATGTGATGTTGTGCCTTCTGGTTTGTGGTACTGAAGACTATATTTCTTACACAATTTTGTCTAAGTGCATTTCATATGGGCTTGGTGTTACAATAGACAACTATAATAAGGCTACAATACACAAATAATTCCATCTAGTGTGTGGAATCGTTTCATCACAGCTGCTCATACAACATAGAAAAGGTCAAGTTCTGTCACTGGAATTTATGGGTTACTTTTCATTTGATATTTCTCATATTGCAACTGAATATTTAGTGAGAAAACAAGTTTATTTATGTATCTTTTTTTTTTAATATCTTTTCTTATTATTTATTTATCTCTATTTTTAAATAAGATATACAATGTGTATTTATATGTCTTATCATACACATAGGTCTCTAAAGGGATTTACAGGCAAACGTTAAAAGAATTAAAAATGTGTAAAAGATAACACACTAATTATAGCAGAGTAAAATTACATGAATTCAATTCAATGAATAAAAGCAGTTGAATAAAGTGCACACAAATTTTATAGAATAATTAAACTCACTAAAACTGTGAAGAAATATTCAAGAAGAGAAAAATGAAGATATCTAACAGATAAAGTATGCAATAAAAAGGGGGGTGGGTGGGGTGGATGATTTCAAATTAAGTTTAACAAAAGTACTGGCAGTTTTAACGAGAAAATAAAACAAATTCAATAAAAGCAGTGCAAAGAAGCAAAGAACAACTGTCTTAATCTCTATCTATCACACAGGTAGATGGATCAAGCAGTGAGCAGCATAATGGCTAAATACCTTTTCACCCTGTCTCATCTGAACTCTAGTCAGAGGTAAAAAAAATATTTACGCACTGGTTTAGGAGGTGACAGTTCTGTATAACAAGGTAGTAATGTGGTACAAGCATGGCATGCTTTGGTTATGTGGTAATCCAGTGTGATGCAGGAACTCCTCTCTACCATGAAGTGGTGCTGTCTACAACCCGGTGAGAGAGCAACGGACTGGAACAGGTTAAATTAAACTGCAACATTATATGTAATCATTCCTTTTATTTTCCTTGAGTTATTTCCATATTAAAATAGCATTATCTGTATCTGTAAATTCAACTAATACATATCTGAGTGTTTAGTGTAACCCATTTAATATATGCATATATTTAAATATATCTTGTTTTAACACCTATTTCCATTCTGTGCTTGAATAACTGGTGTCTAAGCATGTACCACTTCTTTCTCCAGGTCACATTCATCAACAAATATCAAGCTATTGTCAATATTGTTATTATTGCTATTATTTCAGTGTCTATACTGTGTGTGGTGGTGGGGACATAGGGGTAATAGTTCTCAGTTTTTCATCCCTGGCTTAATAATTATATATGTATGACTACAAATCTCTCTTTGTGAGAATGTGGGATTTAATTACCATGGAAACACAGCTAATGTCATTGCTTTTAATGGCAAAATGTTCATTAAGAGACCTTTCCAGAGACCCTTTAGCCCCTTGAGAAGGTCAGGGCAATTTCTCAGCACACGAGTGACATTTATCTGTGCAGTGAATCGGCAGTAGAAACAGGTTAAAGGTTCTGAAAACACAGCATTTGCGCATAGCTGGTAATTTATTTGATGAAAATATAAAAGCTTTGAATCATAATAGAGAGCATTGGCTGTGATTTGTCTGAAGCCCTTAGTGGCACTGCAGAGGGGATCCGCTAGAAACTGTGAGCATCCTTTTGTGTAGATGTCAGCTGTTTATTTTCCAATACTATAGTCAGTGTCATTACTGGCGCTTCGTTCAGTTCGATGATGTGAACGTGTCACTGTGATGGGAAAGCGGCGTACACCTTTAAAGCCTCATCTCTGATCATACATAGCGCAGCAGTTTGCAAGGAATCACTGAATCATGGGAACCAGTGATAATGCGCACTTCTTTGTCACCAAGGCAACCACAATACGTTTCTGTGGATGAAGTCATTTGTTACGCCGATCGTTGCCATGGTTACAACCTAGAGAGGGCGCTGCGGAGGAGCGTTCCACGTAAAATGACGCAGGGCGGGGGCGTGCCCGCGATGCGCGCTGCGCAAGGCTGCTTGTTGTTCCCGCAGAGAGGCGAGAAGATGGCGGCCGTGTCAAGCGGAGGTGCTGCTGGGTCCGCTGCGGCCGGGATTACGCACTCTCCCCGACCGACCCACGCAGGCATGGGCTCCCAAAACCGAGCCCAGCCACCCTCCGGGATCAGCCACTCCGGTCGTGCCAGCACGGCCACCGGGTGCATCACAAATCCCGGCCACACTTCGGCCACCAGGCCCCCCCCAGCCCGAGTGGGCCACTACGAAATCGAGCGGACCATCGGCAAGGGAAATTTCGCGGTTGTTAAACTAGCCACACACATCATTACTAAAGCGAAGGTAAGACGGCTTATGTCCGAGCGTTACAGGCGAACAACGACAAGTTGTCATTGTTGTATTTTCAGCCTTTTCAGCCTTGTACTCAGGATGACGCTGGGGCCTTCGGGCTCCGGAGACACAGCGGCCAGCCCGCTTTGGTGACACCGCTGCTCGGTGTAGGGGGGTTCCGTTCGACACGGGACATCACCTTTAGCTTCTGGATACGATATATATCCCACAAGATACACGTAGTCCCACATTAAATCGGTCGTGGTATTTTTACGTGAAGCTAGAAAGGCCCGAGGTTAATGTGTGGCAAAGCGCAGAGGACGGAGAGAAGGGTATTGACGAAGATGAAAAAGAGGAGACAGAACGATAGTGTAGTTGCTAGCTTAGCTTACTAGCTAATTAGCTGTTTGGTAAGACTCATATATCGTTGAGACTGATACCAAGGCACAAGGCTGAAAAGTTTGGGAGGCCCTTCGGAATAACTTAAAGTTAACAGCGAACTTCCAAAGTTGATAAGTGTGTGTTGTTCAAGTATTGAAAGCCGTCTTTGAAATTCATCGTAAAAGTAGCACCGAAAACTGCTCGAACTTGGCTAAAGGTTGTTGCGTTTTCATGTAGCCAGCTAGACAGAGGATAACGCAAACTACTCATCATCAACTATTTTGCGTCGGTATATTTCCTACGCCTTTCGAAAGTAACTTACCCAGTTTGTCAAAGCTGTACTTCAGTGCCAGTGTTCGTGGTACTCATATATATACCCGTTTCTAGATGGATGACATGTCAGTGAATACTCCCAGACAACAAAACACTGACATGGCAAAATTAGTGGTTTCAAAACTGCCACCGCACACTTGAGTGTACGTTGATGCTTTTGCGTTGAGTGGGCGCCAGTTAGCATTATACTGGATGATTGGCACAGTGACAAGCACGTACTGTTATCAACGAATGATATCCGTGTACAACAATTATAATGAGTGGATGCCATACATTGAGTTTGGCCTCAAGTCAGTCCTGTTGTTCATAGATGAGTCTGTTATCATTTGTGGCAAACAGAATTTTTGCATCTTGTAGGAAATTTTCCGTGTTGCAAGGCTTTATTTGCCTGTGAGCAAACTGTTGTCAGTACATCATCAGATGCGCTGCTAGTGTAAGCCCAGAAAGATCCAAACAAACAAAAACAACAATCAGAAAGCCTAAGCCTAAGAGGCAGCCATAAGATTTCTGCTTTGATTTTTTTTTTATTTCCAGTTTGTTGCAGAACTTTCACTCAGTATTGTGACATTAGCATCCTTTATTTGATGATGATATACCCATTGTGAGCAGTATCCACATCCCTTATGATGGCTGTCCAGGTGAATGCTCAGAACAAATAGGGGTAATTGGTGCCTCCTTACCGGCAAATCCTTCCGTGTAATTGTCTTTTAACCCTGATGAAGAGCCTTTAATTCAGATGGCATAAATAAAGGTGTGTTGAGGCTGCTGAGTGCGGAGCTTTACTTCCATGCCCTTGTTGACACACAGACAGGCAGACACAGGTCATTTGAATGCTTTGCGCCACATAGCTGAGAGAACCTTCCATTTAGTTTTCATGAGGCCAAAATAAACTTGGGTCAGTGAGCTGTGGAGTGGTTTTCAGCGCTGGAGAAGATGCTGGTTGAATGACTTCAACTGTGTTGTGACTACGAGTATAATTTTAAAAAAATTGTAGGTAATGGAGATGTGTTCTCAACCTCTTACGAAAACAATACAAAGACAGCCGCGATATAATAATGAGCAATTGATGAGCAGGTGTTGCAAAGGGCTACTCTCTGTGTGTGGGGTTGTTTTTCCTTGTCTGGATGTGTGTGGCCGTGTGTCTGTCTGAGACGGACAGAAGACAAAATGACACGGACTGACAGAATGAAAGAGACGCCTTGTTTGTCGTCTGCT